TCATCACCTGGTTCAGTGGTAATGATGCCGTACCTCTCCAACATCACTTTACCACAGATGTTTGCCAAATGTACTAACTCTTGTATCTGTCCCTTAATGTGTCAGGTAGTGTTGCGGCTGGTGGAAGCTCAAATAAGAAAGAAAGTAAGGTGAGTATGCAGATATAAAAATAAAATTTACATTTTAGCAGTTTAAAATGTTCTGTATTATAGAAAATAAAAAGCATTTTGAAAACTTAGTAGGCTAAACCAAACCATCTAGTATGTCAGCTGTCATCTGCACTCAAATTGCAAAGTTCCGCTGCAGTTTCAATTTCACACCTTTGTAACATTTTGATGTTTTCCACCTTTAGCTGAGTTCCAAAGTGGATTTCATTATAGACCTGTCAAAAATAAATAAATAAAAACACCTCTCTTGTTTTTGTAAATTTTGGGATACTGCATAAAATAGTGTATTTTCTTTGCTTTTGGGACACATTTTGAACAGGTTGCTGTAGAAACAGTCCAGTCTGGACATAATTCTCACAATTCTCAGATTTTAGTGCCCATGTGAGATTCCAGGTGAAGGGAAGTAAGTCACAGGTGACCAAGAAATCACTTCTGGATAGATTGTAGCACAGCCTGTCCCAGCCAAATTGAGTATATTTTTCAAAATATGTTGCCAGGAGGGCTGTTTTTTTTTTTTTCTTTTAATGCACTTGTCAATCTGAGAATCTTAATATTTGGGTGCATCTTGTTTTCTCTTGGAATATGACTCATTTATCTTGATTCTGCTACTATTTTCAAATGTTTAGAAAAAAACATCACTACATTTGTGCTTAGCTTCAAAAACAGATTGTGTGTCAAGAAAGAGACACAACATGAAATGTAGTGTAATAATAGATGTAGTGCAGTAGCACTTGCCATTGCCTTCATGGTGTCAGCAGTTTATTTTTCAGATCCTTAGGCCAGCTCTCTTGTAGCAAAACTAAAATAATTAATGCCATGCCAATAGTACTGCTTTGTTTTTCTGGACGACAAAGATAAAGATTAATGTGGCCCTTATTCTTTTAAAGCAAAGCAAAGATGAAAGCAGCAAGCATAGCAACTTGAAAAGTGAAAATATTTCTAAGGATTTGAATAAATGCACAAAGGAGCAAAGGAAAACTGATGCAGAGGGTAAGTCTTACAGTTTTAAGGCTTATGAATGTCTCTCTATGTAGTGACATTTAAATGTCATTGATCCAGCCATTTAAACAGGTAAAGCATACAAATCTGCATCTGTATAAAACCATGCCACTGCCTGCTAGGTCTGGAATTAATATATTGACTCCTACCTCTCATCTGAGATTTAAAAGTAGTATTAATCTTGGCCAAACTATTTTAAAACATACTGTTTGAAAACATTTGGTATGGAGTAAATACACCGTTTTACTGATCTTAATAAAAGGGGTTGTGACTTACACCCACAGAATTAAATATGAAGTGCTGTACTCTTAGTACTTGCTTGAAAAAACAATGAAAAACAGGTTAGATGCTGGTTATCATCTTGGTGTTGTTGCAATTACAGCAGAAACTCCTGAAGTCCTCCCAGGAATTACTGATTCATCACATCCCCAAAGGAGAAAATGGGAAAAGAGGTCAATTAATACTGTAGTGGATGTCCTGGAAAATGCTTCCTTGCTTTCTGCCAGTTTTACACCTGAAGACGTTAAAAGTAAGATTTAATTAAGTGTGTCTTTATGCATTTTTAATTTAAGTAATATCAGTACTTCTTCACAAATTTTAAAAGCCATAGAATTACAGATAATATTTAAAATGATGTAAAAATATTTTTAAAATATTCTACTAACCAACACTCCGGAAGTCCACTGTGATGAAGATACATTTGACACTAACAATTTCTTAGCGGTCTTGGGTGACAGGAGGGCTGCAAAGCCAGAGATAACGTTAGCAACCCTAAAACTGTAATCATCCATAAAAAGTTATGCTACCAACCCTCCTCTTTACATACCATTTGTCGGCGTAATCCTGAAGATACCTTGCAAAATTAATTTGATGCAGAATGCAGCTGCTGGTCTTTCAAATACAGCACTCTGTTGGGAGCACGTAACATCTCTGCCTCTACTTCTGTAGTCACTTAATGTACAGATAATGCCAATGACAAGAACAACTAATGATGTACCTCAGATGTGAGGCAGAGATTTGTCCTTCTTCTGTACTAACAGCTTTTAACAGGAACATTTAATATGGGATTTCCTCTGACAAATGTTTTAAACTGACCCCTACCATATTAGATTGTTACAAAAATTTCATTTGATTTTGGAGATGTATTCTAAGTAAATGTGTATACATACATGCTAGTGAAATAAGTCATACAGATTTGAGTAATCAGATAAGATTTTAGATGCAAGTGTTACATGCTGATAATATCCAGGGCAGCGAAAAAAGACAGAAAAATGCATGTATTTAGATATTCTGCTATTAAAAGGCGCAAAAATGGACACAGGCTCCTTTTTGTGAGCATTATAGAGCTACCAAATAAGCTTGCAGAGACTCTGGCTCCTCACGTGAGGTCTTGGTTTCTGCTGACTCCCTCAGAACAGAAGTTGCAATGTTACATTCTGTAATTTTCTTTGCTCTAGATGTCAAATGAAGTATGTTAGAAGAGGCCAGTGGTGCTAACAGACTGCAACTTTTCTTCCTTTCTTCCTTTTTTTTCTTTTTCTTAAATGTGCTCTTTGTAATTCATGCTGCTAATGCAATTTCGTCTAAGAAGTATTTATTAATGATTTTATACCTAGATGGCTCTGTTATAAACTACAGTGAACATAAGCCACGTAAACAGTGGAACAAGGAAACACCTCACACCCTGATGAACTTTCTCAGTAACGCAGAAATCAGCTTAGCATTTAAAACATACACAATTTATAAAGCAGGTAAATCCCCAAACGGTTTTGTAAATATGTTTATCAATAGAGACTTATTTTTCTAAGATATACAACACGGCTCGGACCCGGCCCCGCGGCTCTGTGATAGGCCCTGTGCATGGAGATTGTGTGTTCATGTCACAACAGACTGTTGTTTGTTTGTTTATGGAATGAAAAGTGGACATGGGGGAAAAAAAAAAAGGGAAATCCAAACCAAGAATTCCTGAGTGATTATACATCTCCAGTCTTTGTACATCTCTTTATGAAGGACTTTTACTTACGGCTTGAAGACTGAATGAGTTTGTCACTTACAGCAGAGACTGCAGAGTCATACAGTCTCCATCCTACTAACCGGCACAGTGTATGTGTTAGGGAGGTGCAATAATGGGGCTGTAACCCCATCAGGTAATCCACCATCACTGAATCAATACTGCTCTATTTTGAAGACAGGATGGTAAGATGGTAAGATGGCATGGCAAAAGGTAATTGTAGTCTGTAGATATGCATAGCTGCAGTCATAAATATTTGGTGTCCACTTCAGTTTTGTTATTAGTTATCTCCCCAGTTAGACAATAGCTTGTACTGGAATTTGCAAAAAACTGGAGACAAATTTGAAAGACATGTATTTATGTGTCTAATTTTATTTTTCTAAAATTAAGGATTTTGGTGACGCTCATTTTTATCATTTCAAAGCTTCTGAAAATACATTAAGAGGTCCACTTGCTGATGAAACTGAAGCATCAGAAGCATTTGATAAAGTAGATGGGGAACATGAAGATGTCATAGATCCTGAGAGACTTGAGCCTAGATCTGATGAAGATGACACGTATGTCCAAATAACATCCTTTAACTTTTCTTTTCTTTGGTTCCTTAAAGTGAGTTTTCAAAAAAAAAAAAAAACAAACTTGAAAAAAGGCGGTATTTTTCGCAATTCATCTCTCTGTTAAATAATGATATCAAATGTTACTAAATTTTAATATCTTAAATACTTTCTTTGCTACATTTACAGTTATTGATGATGTTGAGATTAAACAGGTTGCTTGTTATTAGCAGATTATTTTTGCTGGTGACTTTGCGAAAATGAAAGTATGAGATGAAATTAGATCCACAGTGATGCGCAAACCCTTCTTGCATGAAACATCTTTGTACTCTTACCTTGAAATCAGATAAGCAACAGAAAAACCACTCACTAGTGGTATGTTTGCTGTATCTGTGTATTAACTTTTCTACTCTTTCATGCACAGTGCAATAAAATCACTTTTGAACCTACTTATTGAAGACATAATGTATAGACTTTTCAACTTGTATGTGCTGCTTATGTGACCTATTTTTCCTGCTTTTGAAAAAGCAAAGTATGTCAACATGTTCTGAACAGAAATGCTGTATTTTACAGATGTGTGTATCTTTGGGGGGTGGGAATTAGGATCTCAAAACCTTAGTCTATGTCATTGTTTATTTTGGTGGCACTGGGACATGAACTGCTTAAGTACCTGTTACTGCAGTTCAACTGCAAGCCATTAATATCAATGCATACATAGTTTCTTGGTGTATGATTCTTTGCTCCTGGTAAAAACTTACTTGGGTAAATTCAAAAGGGAACCCCTACTGGCTCCTTAACTGCAGTAGCGCAGGAAATAAGTCTCTTCCACTGAGATTTTCAACAGTATTTCTCCTAGTTATAGTGTAATTTAAATAAATATATATTTATGAAGTTGGATTATTTTGCAAAATAACTTTTTGAAATCTGTTTTTAGGGACTTTGAGGAAGATGACCCAGACTGGGTGTCGGAACTGGAAATGGTATTGAAGCACAGTGACTGAAAAACTTACATTTGGAATTTTTTCTACAATAATGAAAGTTAGGCTTACCAATATGTATAATCAAAGTTGTATTTGTTGATAATAGTTGTAGTTATTAATAAAATGTTCTTAGTCAAAAAAACCTGTGTGCAGGTTTTCTGTATGGCAAACTAAGGGGAGGGATGAATAATAAATAACCTTTCTAGCTAGAACACTTGCAAATAACAAAAAAGTAGATATTAAATATATTTGGAGTTGGTAATAGCTTTGTAGAAATATTCAGCCAAAACCATTAGTGCTAACAGCATTGTTTTAATTGCTTTCTTTGTCTTATTTCAAAGAAGTGATGTGACAGTTGTGCATGAAGTTTTTCTTCCTGACAATGTCTTGAAATACTGCATAGCAGGAATAACTGATTTTGTCTGAAGGGCATTTTATGGAAAACATTTAGCTATGCTAATTATTTGAGGCATAGTTCATGCAGCTATTAGTTCTCTGACAATACCTGATGGTGAACTTTTGGCTTCAATGACAAGATTTTTATATATGCCATTTGCATGTGTGGAAGAAACCTCATTTGTTCATTAAAAAGGACAATTTTCCCCATTTTGATAAGGAGATAAACTTCTGCAGGATGCATTACGTGTAATTTAAGTTTAATGGTGCTATTTGGGCTGGCTGTTGGGTACTAAATAGTGATGAGAAGCCTGACAGGGAAGTGTAGAAACGACCCCAGTACAGTTCTCCCTGGGAGGTGCTTCTGGACTGTGTTAAATAATACTGGAGAAAAATAAATACGAAAAGCTTTAGAAAATGTCAAGATGTGGAACAGGGCTGTTATTTCTCCTGCGTTGCACACACCCAAAGCCCCTCACGGCTGCCTGAAGCAGTGCAGCCTCCTTCTCCTCCCGGAGGGGTGCGAGGGCAGTGCCACAGACGCCACACCCCGCCGAGGGCAGGGCAGCCGGGGAAGGCTGCTCATCTTTCGTCTTCCTCCTCCTCCTCTTCCTCGGGCTGGCCTCGGGGGCTCCGGAGGCGGCGGCCGCAGTAGGTACCGCGTCCCCCTGCCCGCACCTCGCCTCAGGGAGGCCCCGGCCATGGCCGCTCACCCGGTGCGCGGCGTCGCCATGGCGACGGTGCCACAGCAGGGCGGGAAGGGGCCCGGGCCGCGGAGATGGCTTCACGCAGGTCGAGGTGGTCTGCTACCGAGCCTGGCTTGCCTTCCTGACAGGAAAAGTGCAGTGTCACCAAATCTTCCTGGTTAAAACTTAGTCCAGCTAACAAGAACAGTATTAGAGTGTGTGTGTGTATTAGCCCTCTAAGCTTGCTTGCGGATAGGTTGCGAATACCCAGTGGTAATGTCCCAGAATACTTGGTCTTTTCTACCAGAGAGAGTTCAACAAGAAACACACTGTAATTTTATGTTTTCCATTAAAAGAACAAGTGTGCAGTATCATTAACTTCAATAAACAATGTCAAACTTCCCAGAATCATAGAATCATTAAGGTTGGAAAAGACCTCCAAGAATAATAGCATACCATAACACTGTAATAACACCACACCATAATACTTTTGCTGCCTTCTCATTTTTTAATTTTAGGGTGTGCTAGGACCGTGTTTCATGCTTTCCGAGATGCTCATAAACTTGCTGCTTAAGTTCAGATCCACAATAATTTGTAGTCTTCCAGGAGATGACATTTTGAGGATGAATCTGCATCATTAATAAAAATGTGATAAAAATGTGAGGAAAAAATACAGTCATTAAAAGTAGTTTCTATTTCAGTAGACAAACTCAGATGTTTTAGCACTGACTACATGCAATACTAATCTGGGGACTCTTTTGTTCTAGCCACTGCTTTAAGATAAAAACATCATGGACAAATATGAAATCCTTAAGAAAATTGGAGAAGGATCTTACGGCAAAATATTCTTGGCAAAAGGAAAACTGGATAATGAGCAATGTGTCATCAAAGAGATTGATTTAACTAAGGTAAAACAACAAAACCTGGATGATAACAATAGTTATTTACAGAATTATGACAACTGCATTTAGCTAATCTATAAGCTTAGGTGTCACATTTGTAGTTGCATCTTGATGACATAAACTTGCCAAAGACTGTACTCTTTGACTGCCTAATTTTAAAAACATAGACTAAATATGTGATTTTATATAAACAGTTTATTTTTCTTTTTTTTTTTTTCAAAGCTTTACCTAGCATACATGATACTACCTGATTTAAGCTTTATAACAGATGATTCAAGTACAACAAAACTATTGCTACTGAAATAACAAGCCATGATTTTGTGATACTTTTCTCTAAACTCTTTCATTTTTTAATTTTTTTTTTAAAAGTTCATATTTTCAGGTATGAGTAATACACAGCAGTCTTTCTGATTCTCATTTATGTGTAAGGCATTTTGATTAATTTCATCTAATTTGAAGTGTCCGTTCTGTAGTTGTCATTATCTCAGCTACATGGCTTAATTCCCTTTCTTTGAGAACAAGGGATGCTGTTTGCTGTGTGTATTTTAGACTTCTGTTTCAGAAGGAGGTGAATTGGTCCATAAGCTCCATGTTTCTTTCTGTGGGCTGTAAAGGCAGGTTAGGGTGGCTAGCTTGGGTAATCAGAGTAATGCCACTCCTAGATCTAGTTCCAAAAAGACATGCAATTAAACTCCATATGATTTCAGTACAGGGAATTCAGCAGTCAATTTCAGTGAGTGTCTACATGCTTGTGACAGCTCTTACACTCTGTGTTGCACTAGTGAACTTCAAATGTATGAGAGAATCATAACAGAAGCATGAATTTTTATGTGTCAGTTCTAGGAAAAGCTACATAACCTTCAGATTCAAACCCAGAAAAATTGATATGCTAGTAATGATAACTAAATAAAAAATGGTTTCTCTGTGTTCAGAACCAGTAATTCGGTTCTTTCTAATCTCATATTTTGATGTATGCAAAATAGAAAAATTTAAATTAATAGAGTGTTATTACTTACCCCAGTTGTTTAAAAACCACGAGGTGATTACAGAAAATTCTGACTTCAAAGTAGTATGATTTTTCTTATGTGGTAGAGTGTGTCTTTGTAGTATGTGGTATGTCTATGTGTCATTTATATGTTTGATTGTGTGTGTCTTTATTTTCACCTTTTGATTTTTGAATCTTTAAGGATTACGTTTCAAAATTATTTCTTAAGAATGAGAGTAAGAAACTTACTTTTGTAAATGAAAGAGGACATTTTAATAGAATCAGTATGGAATCACTGAAACATGAGTTTACCTCTGTTCACCAACTAAGTTGGTAATAACATTTATGTAGGAATTTTAAAGGTAGACACTTGCCTCTTTGTAAAATATCATAATTTGTTTTTACTTTGATAATGTTCCAGTATATTTACAAACATATGCTGCGAATGTATGTACATCATATGTTCTAGTATTTCTGCATCACCTTGGCACAATCTTTATGTACTTGTGGGAATGATTTGACAGCAATGTAACTGTTATTGAAGAGACTTAAATACATCATTGCTAAAATATAGTTGCTTAATTCTTTGTAGATGCCTGTGAAAGAAAAGGAAGCCTCGCAGAAAGAAGTCATTCTTCTGGCCAAGATGAAGCATGCAAATATAGTAACCTTCTTTGCTTCTTTGCAAGGTTTACTTTCAACATTTTTGTTTTATTTGTGACTATAGGAGTGAAAGGCAGCAGAACCTAGTTTGTTCGTATTGCCCAACCATAAGCCTGTCCCCAGCACCTTACTTATCAGTGGGGTTAGGTGCTGACTCCTAAAAATGAACACAAGGTACCAGGTTTAGTCATCACTTTCTTTCTCCTTGTGGGTGGGTGGGACCAAAAGTCTTAAGAAGCACACACTGGATCCTGAGGGGTCTGCATTGCTTCCCATTGAACTTTAATCTTGACCTTCAACAGAGGTCCAGGGTTTTGTGAGACCTTCCCAGGAGCTGCAATAGAAGAAGAGAGCTTTTGAGCACAGCAGGCAATAGGAAGTAAAATGAATGAGAAACTAGGAAAAATAGGAAAATAGGAAAGAAAACATATCTTGGGTTATCAGTAAGGTTGCAGAAAGGTTTGGCTTGGACTTTGGGACTGAGGGAGAGAGTGGAGTGGCTTTCCAGCACAGGTTCATGCAGGATTGATTTTGGAGGGCCTGTGAAGCAAAGGTGAAGGCTAGTGTCCATAGAGAGCATGCAATTAATGTATGTTTCAGGTGAAATTTAATAATTATTGCTGTATTAATGAGGAATAAAGGAATAAAGGAAAGAAATACTTTTCCTTTCAGAAAACAACAAGCTGTATATCGTGATGGAATACTGCGATGGTGGAGATTTAATGAAGCGGATAAATATGCAGCATGGAGTACTGTTTGATGAGGACCAGGTGAAAGAAGTTACCTTTAGAGGAAAGGATGTTTTATGTAAAACACATTGAATTATGCAGTGCTTGCTACTGTTTCTTTTCTGACCTGTTTTAAAAACTGAACGTTTTAAAGAAACTGATAGTTTTAGTGGGAATTTAGAGTTTCCTTTTAGACTTGTTTAAGATCTTAAATGAATTTATTGACAGTATTTTGATGCCAATGATATTCTTTCCATTGCTCCTCCTATACTGGAGGCACTTTTTCTTAGTAGTATACGTGCTTAGCCAGAAAGGCTTTATTTTTACTTTTACAAGGTGTTTTAGAGGTGTTAGGGGATATATTATATATGAAATTTTCATTCTTTTCTGCTATTTACATCATAGTATATCATGCTTTATACTAGTCAGTGGTAAATCTCTCATTCATTTTATTTGGGTCAAGAATTCTCTGATGCCATTTAAATTGTTAAACTGACACAGAGAAACAAGGCCAGGATTCTGACTGCTTGTGGAGCATGTTCACAGGTATTTCAGTTTGTAAATAGCCACATGTGAGAAGTATTGCAGTTCTCAGAAACAGAATTTCCTATTAGTCCTTCACTTATTCCTTCATCTTTTAAATAACTTTAGCTTTCTGAAGGAAATCTTCTCTTATATGTTGGACTTAGTATTCGGAACTCTAAGGATATTTAATTTTGCGCAGTCTTTCACTTTTGCAGTTGCAATGAAAACTTACCTAGATAGTAGACAGACAATATCTAACATGTTAGTGGAAATCTACTCTAAAGCATAGAAGTGGGGAAAAAAAAAAAAAAAAGATTAAAGGAAAATTTGTGACATTTCTTCTCGCTTTAGTAGGAAAAGAGAAACTCCTTAGTCAGTTGGAAGTGAATTACTGGTTCAGCAGTGGTGAATTTTATGATCCAATTGGGAGTCATAATAGAGGCAGAGAGAACATGAGAGAAAATAAAAAGAGGACAAAATCACAGATCACAAAAAGACAAAACGGAACCAACACACAAACAAACCTTGCCGAGACAGAATGTGGCATATCCAAAGAAAGACAAAGGAATTACAGACAAAAGAAAGGATTATAGAAACTAAAGATGCATCTGACAATCAAGAACAGAGAGCAAATTACCCAATTTAACATAACTTTGTTAAAAAATCTGTATATTTTCAAGTGTATGCCTAAGGAAGTCTAATTTATGACATCAGCCCTATTCAGGAAATCATCTGTGAAATGTTAAGCATTACTAGATAGAAGAATATTACTTGAATTAAAGTTTTCCATGATCATCAGTTGTCCTTAAGATAGGAGTGTGTAAGCACATCTTACTTTTGTTTCTGAATTAAGTTCGGCAGCCATTATTCAATAAATCACATATATCTGGAATTGAATACATGCTTAAGAGTTGTCCTGGGGCAAGGGTGAACTGTTGTGATTACTTACTATCACAAGTTTCTTCATACCTATGTTGTTTAACCACATTTCAGACCTTCATCCTCTATTTCTTCTTTCCTGGACCACGTTTGGTATGATTAAAGATATTACAAATGCATGATATGGCTTACACTGCTGAGGATTAAGACACCACCCATTTATGGCTTGTTTTTTGAACTAATTTCTAAATAATGGTCTAGTGTTCCTAACTCTTCTTTGACATGATTCTTCAGTCCTTGCTCAGGTAATGGTCTTGTCATAGTCAGTGAAAACTTGACTGGGATACAGAAAGTGGGAATAGGTATTTATTTTCATTTAGTTCCCTGATAGTACTGAGAAAGGAAAGTAAAACTATGGCATTCATTTTACTTATGCAAAAATATTGTTTCCTACTATTCTATGGTGTGTGTGCTTGACTTTTTTTAGATTTTGTTGTTGTCTTTGTTGTACGTATTTCAGTAAGATGTCCCTCTGGAAATTAGAGCCATGCCAATTTATCCACATATCAAATTTATCAGATATCTATTCCTTTTGTCTTTCACCGCAGATTTTGAGTTGGTTTGTGCAGATCTCCTTGGGCCTGAAGCATATTCACGACAGGAAGATTTTACACAGAGATGTAAAAGCACAGGTAGTAAAACTAGAACTGGAAGGGGGGTGATTTTATCATGTCAAAAGACTTAAGCTGTGCCATGTTTCATTGTTGCATACCAGTTTCTTCTTTGTTTGCAGAACATTTTTCTTAGCAGTAATGGAAAGATAGCAAAGCTTGGGGACTTTGGCATAGCAAGACAGTTGACCAAGTAAGCACCTCTTTCATTAGTCTATGATCTACACCAAATGTATCTATTTCTGAATGTTCAGAATGCAACCTGAGTGTGCAAATTGTTTGTGGGCTGTGCTTGGTCTAGGATATCAGGGGTCTGTCACTATATTTTTTTTCTGGTATCCTAAAATGTGCCATCCTGAACATAACCACGGATCCTTGTAACTGGACTCTTGTTAGAGGGTCTTTCCCTCAATCTTTTCCTGTTCCTTATGGAACTGACATAGAAACTCTGGAGGTACAACTGTTCTTTGCAGTCCTTGATAATCACTTCTGGTGCTTCATGAAAAGAAAAAACAGTGAACAGCATTAAACGTTCGGAAATAGTGTAAGAAAAGAGTTTGTTCAGGTCATACTATTTGTTTTCTTAGTATGTTCTTCAAAACTGTGCCTATACTAACAAAAAAAAAACAAACAAAAAAAGGCCAGAACCCATTCTTCCCTGGCCCTTAGAGTAAATGTTTTATCATGGCTTGCATCCCTCTGGCTAAACTTCTGCCAGAGATGGTGGTCTTTTCTTTATTGGCTCTGGGGACAAGGTTGGCCTAACCTACAAAGTGGCCAGACATTGTCTAGGAGAGTGCTTTTTGACATGGTCAAAACATGTCTAACATGCTAACAAAAGGACAATGCTTGAACTTGATCTCTTTTTGAGCCTGTTGATATCTGTGACCTTGGCAGGATCTCATGGCAACGAAGTTCCACGGTTTGTGGAAATGTAATTTCCTCTGATGATCATTTTGCAGATTGTCCTTCTATTGTCAGTCCTTCTCGGTTGCTTTGTACTCCACCTGCTGCAATTCACTCGTTGCAACTTTTCCTATCCCCAAATTAAATTAATCCAAGCTGAATCACATTCCTGTCTACACAATAAAGACTTTACCCAGCATAGACAATTTATGCACTCTCTTCAGACTTACTTAACTATGTACTGGTATAAAATACCTTAATGCATTCTTCAGGTGAATGTACAGCATAGGTAATTTCTGTCAAGGCCCCATCAGGTTGCTTTGGAATGAGGCCTAAATAACGTTGAAAATTTGGTGGTGCATCAGAGCTGGGAAGTTTTGCTGAAAGTAAACCTCAGAATGTGAATGTGCAAGTCTGGGCATTTTGAGGAGTATTTAATAGGTATCTGGGACTTCAGAAACAAAATATTTGGAGCTTGAATGTGCTTTTTCACATGTAACAAGTGAATTAGTTTTCTCAGTCCCTCTTCCTCCCATCCCCTGTGATACACAAAGGCATTTTCATTTCCGTTCTCCACTTCCAAATTACAGATAGTGCCCAATACTTTTATCTTCTGTTAGGTATCCTTGACAGCTCTGGCAGTCAGATTTCATATCCTCAATAAGGAGGGTAATGGTCAGCTTTTATTGACACCTGCTGTAGAGTGAGAGGAATCACTCTGTGATTCTGTTTCTCCACGGACTTCCCAGTGACTCTTGATGACATCCACAGTGTAAATAACTAAAAGCAATTGAAATGAATCCAACAAGTTTTTTATATTTGCTATACCTACATTACAAGTCAGCAGCAAAGATGGGAATAGAATTCATTTACTCCTGCTTTAGTTTCTGGACAGTTGTTCCACCTTCCACAGTTTCTAGCCTGCATGACTGACTGGCACCTACGATCTTATTTCAGTGAGTATGTTGGAGGCTTCTAATACTTTGAGGTGAGGTTGACAGCTTTCAGAATTATGTGTTAATGATCATCGTTCCTTGCAAATGTTGATTGCAATGCTGGTGAAAAGTGGGGAAAAGAGAATTCTTGTGATTTCTGTTGAAATGCAAACACTGTTAAGATAGTTGGTCATTTTTACACAGAAATGGGAAGTACTTTAGTGTTTCTTGGGTTGTTTCATTAAGCTATTATTGAACTATTTTAAGAGCAGAAATAAAAACCCCCACAGGCTCTTAACTCAATTGCTTGCAGACTTTTTCAATGTGTAACCCTTTTTATTCACTGTGTTTCATCAGCACTATGGAGTTTGCCTATACCTGTGTAGGGACCCCTTATTATCTGTCACCTGAGATCTGTGAAAATCGACCATATAACAATAAAACGTGAGTCTCTGTTTTCTTCATATGCTTGTTCATGAGGGCGTGCAGGCACAAGAGAACTTAATGTAAATAATGTCATGGTTTACATCAGTATTTCTGCAGGGCACCGGGAATTTCACATGCATCAGCTAGAGGTAGAGCTCTTCAGTCCCTCTAGGAATATTAAGCAGGCATCATTTATATCCTGTGCCTCTTCCAATAATAATAATAGTACCTGGTTAGGTACTGTAGAAACATTGGTGCCACAACAAAAAAAGAAATTTAAGGTTTTCTTTTCACTGCATACTAAGAAATATCAAAAGTTGCACCAATATTAATCTTCATTGGAATGATGCTAGTAAATTTGAGAGCTGAAAAAAAATATTGATTACATCTATGAAAATATTATAGGCTTTTCCTGAAACCTGAATTCCTTTTATTTACAGAGATATTTGGTCTCTTGGCTGTGTGCTCTATGAGCTATGTGCACTAAAGCATCCTGTAAGTATCTTAGAATCAGATCAATATCATATTATTAAAAATAGAGTGAACAGCCTGGAATATATGTAGTTATAACAATATTCATAGACAGCTACTAGTATTATTTTCAATTTACTTCTTGATAGTAAAGGATGACTGCCAATGTTTAATATTTTGTATTGAATTTTTTTGAGCATACTATAATACAATATATTATATTGTATTTCTAGAATTTTTATGTGTATATATAAGTCTGTCGAACATATATTTACTCTTTAATAAGTACTATACTTTCTGAAAAGGCAGATGGAAAGAATTAAAGCTGTACTTCAAGGCTTTAGGCACATGATTTTATTCATTTCTATTTGAAAACACCAATCTGTACTCGCTAAAGAGTTTGAAACCTACATTTCCCCGGAGAGCATTTCAAGTCTCAAGAAACATTTTCCTAGAGGTCGTATTTTGTTTGGAAGCACATTCATGTCAAAAGATAACTGAGACAGCATCTTTAGGAAGCTGTGCTGTCCTCTGTATGATCTAAGCCTCAAGTAATCCTCAGCCTGTGAATGTGGAGAAGGGAACAAAGCAGAGACTAATCCCAACAACAGGAAAAGGGTCGGATTCCTGGGCCCAATTGAAGTTGACCTGGGCATCAATGTGATCAAAGCTGGCAGAGCAGCACTGGCAGGGAGAGCAGTTGTGCTGAGCTGATAACAAGGGAGGAATATTCCAGATTTCACAAAGTGAGAAAAAATCATTATTTCTTCTTATGAATATTAGCTATTCTATTTCATATTGCTGCCTTTTTTTTTTTTTTTTTAAATTTGAAGGCAGGAACTAGATGCTGATGTAGAAGGGAAATGCAAGAGCAAATTTGGGTTACAACACCTTCAAATTATCCAAGTAAATACAATGGTAATTTTAGAAAACTGTTGCTTTCAAAATTAGTTTTGCTTGTCTTAGGCCCTAAAAATTAGATTGATGCTGATATATTAAGAGATCGTCTGACCAGAGAGGACTGAGTCAGCTGAGTGGCATCAGTTGTTAAAAATCAGGTTGTATCCTGGATCCTGAGAGAACACAGACCACAGAGGCTAAGTTGTGGGAACCGAGGTTTTAAAGGTGAACCCTCTGAAAGCAGTATGTATGTGCGTCTCTGCTGAACAGCTTTTGGCAAAAATCATGATGTTGGATTCTGGAAAAAGTGTGTCTGTGTTATTGTATGACATTGTACGACATGTGACACTACGAAAAACCTCTTCCAAGTGCCAAAGCTATCAGACCTGCTGAGTCATGGAGCTTAAACTAGGAGAACGTAACCAGCAAGTACAATCAGAGAGTGGTTCTGTTGATCTCCCACAGCAAACTATGGATAGGGAGAAATTGTTTGTGAAGAGATTGCATAGCCCAGGGCTTCTGTCCACAAGTACCCTTTTCAAATGTGGGTGTTTAGTCCATCATTTCCAACCAGCAGTACTTATTGTCCTCTTTCTGTTGTTTTCATTGATTAAGTTTGAAGGCAGTAGCTTGCACCAGCTGGTGCTGAAGATTTGCAGAGGATATTTTCAGCCCGTGTCTCCCAAATATTCGTATGATCTGAGGGCGTTAATTTCCCAGTTGTTTAAAGTATCTCCAAGAGATCGACCATCGGTGAATTCTATTTTGAGGAAGCCCTTCTTGCAGAAGCTTGTTCTCAGATATTTGCCCCCTGAGGTGAGTGCCTTGTACTGCTGCTTGCCAAGAGAGAAAGGTGTATTGTGTTATAAACAGTTCTGTCTGGTACTTTTTTGTTGATAGTTAACACAGGAAGAACTCAGTCTCGCTTTGATAAATAGAAGAAAGCCTTCAGCATCACAGCCTGGAGCCAAGCTGATACAAGGTAAAGATAATATTTAATGATTTTAACACTGGTTCTACATTAACATTTGCTAGTTGTGATATACTTGATGGTGATAACTTTCTCCAGTAGTCTTTGCTGCACATTTGGATACAAGAACTTCAGAAAAATTTGGAAATAAAAAAAAAAAAAAGGAGAGAACTGAAATCTTGTAGAAAGCACAGAGGGTAACTTGCTAATCTTTTATTTTTAAAAAGAATGTAAGCTTCAAAAAAGGAGAGTGCAAGACCAAGTTACTTCAGAATCTGGAATGGTGGCACCTGTTGAGACACAGGGATTCTTTCAAAGAAATGAATGGAAACCTTCAGGAGGGCAGCAGCCTCAGGTAGAGTGCATCCACATTGCTGATAACACTGAATTATCTTAGAAGGCAAATTCCTGCTGTTAGAAGAGGTCCTTTAGAAGGCTTCTTTAAGATACATTAAATCCAACCTAATGCCTACACCAAGTTAGTGGAGACAGTTAAGGACTCCAGAAAGTCCAGAAAGGACTGTTTTAGAAAGCCTAAGTGGGAAACATGGAGTTTAGGCTGCTTCAGCCTGGTCCTTTGTAACAAAAGCAGTCAGGCACATTTCGCATTTATGTTTATACAAAGGCAAATGAACCTTGGGCTTGCATTTCTGCTATAAAAGCAAATGTACCGATTCTTTTATGTCACACCTCCTGAGAGCCCATTCGTGGGCAAAACCAGTGGTGCCCAGTGCCCTCGTTTCAGATACAATTAAAACAAACTGGGATAAAACCTTACAGCAGGAAGCCCCAGTTCCTCACAATGACCTGTGTCCCTCCCTCATTTTCTACCTCATTGTTTCCTCAGGCTGTGTGCTATCTCCAGCCTCTTACTTGGTATCACTTCCCACCTTCAAGAGTGTGTAGCACTCTCGTGGGTGCTGACAAACTAGAGCAAAGCACAGTTAGGATATGGGAGCTCCCAGCAGTAATTGCATGCTGCAGTTAGGGTAGATTAGCTGATGGTAGAGATCTGTGGAATTCCCAGAACTGCAGCCCTCGAGCAGTCACTAAGATGCCTGAGGACAGTGCTGGCCCAATGCAGAACATAGTACTTGGTTTTCCTCATAGTTCCATTTGTGCATATCCATGCAAGTGCAGAGATGTTGGCTGAGTTTCCTTTCATCGTGCTCTGCTGTAATCAGAGGCAGAATTTTGTCCACAGTGTTTTGATCTGCCAGACATGCACTAATGTTATCAGTGAACATGTTATCACATGTTCCCACAGTCTTTCATCATCCAAATGAAGAAAATAGGTTGTGTTTTTTTTTTTTTCTCAGGGTAGTGAGGATATTTGCATAGTGTCATGCTTTGAATGAGCTGCTTCAGGGTTCACAGAATCACAGAATATTTGAGACTGGAAGGGAACCCTAGAGGTCATCTTATCATCTCTACTCAAGCAGGGACACCCAGAGCCACTTGCCCAGGACCACAGCTATATGACTTTTGAAGATCGCCAACAACTGAGATTCCACAACCTCTCTATTACTGTGAGATCACCCTCACTGTAAAAAATGTTTTGCTTATTTTCAGCTGGAACTTGCTGTGTTTCAGTTTGTGCCTTGACCTGCTGCAGTACTTTGCCTAACGCAACCCAGGATACCGTTAGCCTTTTCTTGCCACAAGTTTTCATGTTCAGCTTGTCCACCAGCACCCACAGGCCCTCTTCCTTGCTGGGTGCCCCCAGCCTGTACTGATGCCTGGGGTCGTTCCTCCCCAGGTGCAGGACTTTGCACCTCCCCTTGCTGAACTCCAGGAGGTTCCTGTCAGCCCATTTCTCCGGCCTGCTGAGGTCCCTCTGGACGACAGCATGACCCTTGGCATGTCAGCCGCTCTCCCCAGGTTCTTGTCATCAGCATCTTGCTGAAAGCACACTGCCCCATCACCCAGATCGTTACCAGAGATGTGAAGCAGGATTGGGCCCAGTATTGACCCCTGGGGTATGCTGCTAGTTACTGGCCTCCAGCTAGGCTTTGCAACATGATCGCCTCTGGAGCCAGCCAGTTTTCAACCTACCTCTCTGCTCATCCAGCCCACACTTCATCAGCTTCTCTGTGAGGATCTTTTGGGGGATGGCATCAGAAAGTAGTGGAGAGAAGGCAGGCAGTACCCACTGCTCTCCCTTTGTCTTCCAAGCTGCTCATTTCCTTGTAGAAGGCCATCAGGTCAGTCAAGCATGACCTTCCCTTTGTGAATCCGTGCTGACTACTCCTGAGCACCTTCTTGTCTTTTACGTGTCTGGAAATGGTTTCCAGGACAGTGGGGCCTGTAGTTCCATGAGTCCCCCTTCCTGCCCTTTTTGAAGATAAGATTGGCATCTGCTTTCCTCTCACAAGTGCCATAATCAGTCAAAGCCAATAATAGACGGTGGCTTCGCAATGACATTTGCCAGCTCCCTCAGCACTGGTGGGCACATCCCATCAGGGCCAGTGGACTTACTTCTGTCCAGTTTGCTCTTGTATTCTCTACCCTGAACCTCTTCCACCTGGGGTATATCTTCTTTGCTGCAGACTTTCTTGGAGGGGAGAAAGAGTGCAAGCTTTGTTGCTCATGGTTCTCAACACTCTTATTTAGATGGTCTGATTTGTTTTCCCTACTGCTCGAGATTGCCGTACTTCTGGATACCGTACTTTAAAACTTCATTCAGGGAGGGACAACACGTACACTTCCTGAAATTACCTCTTCCTTGGGATCATTACTGGCAGTAGAAAATTTTCTTCTATAAATGTGAATCTATATTGTGCTGGACTATATAATCTATATAATCTGGACTATGCTGTAGGTAGATGAGCTTATTTTCAGTGTTTCTAAGGAGCAATAATTAATGTATTTACCATCTAAGGAAGGGATACCAAGCTGATTTTAATTTATGCAAGAAAAATAAGCAATATTCCGCATTTTGCTCATACCCCATGTAGTAATTTTTAGTCTCCCACCAAGAAAGTGTTTGTGGATGTCATACTGCAGTTCTTTTTTGTCATGCAGCAGCAGCTAGACAATCACCTTTCTCTTCATTGTTCTTATGAGATGGAAAAGACAGCCTTGTCACAAAGCAGAAATACAGGAATGTCTCATCACAGTGAGGACTTGGAGAAATCAAAGGCAAGCTCCCACAGGCACATAATCAAAGAGATTATGCACAAGCACAGTGCTTCCCTGAAAGCAGCAGTCTGCATGTTTATGACCCACAACTACATCCCAGATTCCCCTCACTGTCACATGTCAAAATAAAGCTCTCCTGGAATTAACTCAGTGCTTTGGGCTTCAGAACGATGGCGTGGCTCAAGGGCAACCAAGGTGCAGGGTACAAAGCCCCGCGCTGACTGACATGCACAGCATGGGCTGCTGCTAAATCACAGGAGCTGATGGAACAGGGGAAAAGGGAGAGACCACAGTAATATTAAACACACTCTGTATGTAGTAAATTAGGAAGTTTCTGCTTTATTTGAGAAAAGGCTTGGAGAACATAACACTAACTCTACTGTAGACAGCCTGTATTACCATGCAGCTCATTATGGGGAGGACAGGAAATATTTCACACTGGTATTGATACAAATGAATATGGGGCAATTAACATTCTTTATTGTATTTTCAGCCACAGAGCTCCAGATTTAAGATGGCAGAAAGGCCAGAAAATATCAGAGCGCTTGGCCATTATGGTCATTACTATGATAAACTTGACAACTTGCAGAGGAAAGGTAATGCACATTATGACCTGTCTCACATCAGCCAAAGAGTTGAGGAATACTATAAACAAAAAGGACAAGTTGCACCTCCACCCCCCCAACCTGACGGGTAAACCTTTCTCACTCTTTATTAGTAGTGACCAGTCCTGCATGTTTGGAGTTATCAGCCTTCCCGATTAACTCATTCAGTATAATTCCTTCTCTGCTTGTTCTTTGATATTTTTTTTTTACTTAAGTTTATTGTACAGTGTAACTCCTCTTTCTGTTCTGCATGTATTTTCCTGATGTTTGAAATTTTATTATCAAAATATCTCCCCAGTCTCAGCGTTTCACTGGATGTGGAGTAAAACTCAAGATAAGCACTGTCTTTCCTTCCCACCAGCATCTGAAAGATCTAAAGAGCAAAAGCTGTTCTGTACTTCAGGGAACAGAGTAGGAGGCAGGCCATGCAAATGTTGTCTTCCTGCAGAGCTTACATTTTGGTTTCAGATATAAAGGCGTGTTCTCCAGCAGTCTGTGTACTTTAAAGTCTTTCTTTTACAAAGCAGAGGTAGAATCTTTTATTTTTACTTTTGAGATTGTCTGTCCATTCCACAATTTATCAATATTTTGAGGATCAGGAAAAATAACATAATTTTCACTAACAGTCTCATGTACTATTTATCAAATAGAAGGTGAAGAAGAGCTTTGCTCTTCAGTAGACTAAGGTAACCAAAATAATAGCAAGGGGAATGCCCCAAGTCAGTATGTTTTCTGTTTGTTATTTTACTCTTGGTCCATATTTATACATATTTTATCCATCCATCCATACTTATGTAGTACAAACACAGCTGGTAGAAAATTATTTGTGCAGAAGATAGAAGCTGTGAAATAAAGTATAGTACGTGAACATCGCTTTCTTCTCTCAGGCCTGCAGAATATCTTCAAAGGCGTTTTGAAGCCCAGCAGTACAAGATTAAAGTGGAAAAACAGCTGGTAAGTAAGTACTGAACCACAGAACAAAATCTGTAAAAGAAACTGATTGCAAATCCCAAAGATGAATTGATGTCTTTCCAACAGACTGTGGCACTGTCAGATAGAAAGCTCTGCTCTAGTGGGTCTGCTATCTGCTCTACAATGGTCATCTTGAGGTTTTATTTTCTAGTATCAAACTATAGCATTGTAAAATTCTACTGTGACTCTTACCTGCAAAAATACACAGTTGTCAAACATCACTCTTCAGGGGAAGGGGAAAAGTGAACTGAATAGGCCCTGATGAAAGGGATTCAAAATGAAAATTCCTTTGCTCTGGGATTTATTTGTACACCCACAGGGACTGTGGCCATCCTCTGCTGACCCATATCATGACCAAATGCAGCAGCAGGAAATAACAGAAGAGCATCTCAAATTGCATCACCAGGACATGTCTAGAAAGAATGAAATGAAAGAACAGGTAAATAAAATATTTTCCCAAGTTGCTTAAAGCTGTTTTCTTACACTCCTTGACAATAGTGTTCTTTATGTGAGATTTTTTTTTCCATTGGGCCACTAGGAAAATATAAGCTCTGTGCTCATCTGGTTCCATCTTGCAGAAGCCAGTGAGGACTTGCACAAAAGCTGACCTCCAGAATCATTTTAAAATCTAGAAAATCTAAATCTAGATACATGGAAATAAATCTATTTATAAACAAACAAAGAAACCTAAATACATTAAAATCTAAATACATGGAAACATGTAAATACATTTAATCCTTGTATCTTTGATTTATATAAAAAAAAAGTCAGAATAAATATATTAGCTTTTAACATAATGGTCAGACTTCGGAGTAGGAACATACTCATCATGCACACATTCTTCAAAGGCTGCTGCTCTTTAATTCTACAAAGTCTGTACTAAATTTTATAAAAATGTGATTTCATGGATTTGTCTATTTGTACCAGAAGTAAAATGGGACAGACTGTCTTGTAAACAGTAACAGAAATGTAACAAAAGACTGCCTTCCATCCAAATTTGAAGTTTTTGCTTCAGAGCACAGGAATGGTGAATCTTCTTCAACAGAAGACTGCCAAATTCTGTTTTATTTTGGGGAGGAGGTTGCAATACAATAAATGGTTTATAATTTTTTTTGTCCTACTATTTTCTATTTTATGATTGTGAATTTGGAGTCATTACTCAGACTATCCTTAGTTTATTCTTGGAATTGACTATTTTAGGTGTAACTAGACAGAAAATCCAGCATAAAACATTCAGAAAAGCTTCAGAAGGGTTAAAGTCTGGAACAGTTATAACTCCTAAATCTCCTGTTAATAGGAAGTATCAGGCAATCTTTAAAATAGGCAGTAGTGGACACTGATCCTTTTTTCTCACACATACACAGTTTGATATCCATGGAATATTTTGTTCAGCTAGTGCTGTTTCTGTATGTCTTTCTAATAACTATGTGTTCTACCTTACTGTTGTTTAATAGGAGTACCTGAAACAGTTACAGAAAATTCGGGAAGAATACCACAGCAATATAAAAGAATTCAGATTCAGAGCAGGAATACTCCAGGTAGCAAAGCTCAAACATGCATGCAGTCATTTTTCCTTCTCCTTTTTTAAGGTTGTACACTTAATTAATTATTGAAATGAAAATTTTATAAACCTGTTCCCTAGGACAATCAAAAAATACAAGACAAAACCTATCTGGTGAGGCAAGGGAAAGCTGAGAACCTGTCTGAAACCACAGATACAGCTGGAACAAAAGAGTCACTTGAGGTATCTCTAGTCTAAACAAAACGTTTTATGCATGGCCTTTGATTCACTCTGCAAGAGTCCTGAAAAATGCTAAAGCTTAAATCTTACCTGATGTTTGTGCCACATCTGAAAATCTTCCTAGGTTCCTTTCTTGAATAGCCTGGAAACTTTACTGGGATAAGCTCTGATTTGTTTTGGTAATTGCTTTTCCCCTATACTTATTGGGAGGTACTTTTGCTTCTTTTCCTTTTGTGGTGTATTTATTTTCCTTGATTTCTGAGTGAAGTAAAGAAGCCACTCACAGTGCAGACCTTCAGGAGAATCCTGTGCAGGAGATACAGTAAGCATGAGCTCAGAGTAGAACATGAGTACTTTTCCTGTAAGGATCCTATGTAGGGCATATGTTTCAATCCAGTTTTGTGTGGACTCCTTACTTAAACAGAAGATTGGGAGAAACAAGAGGAAGAAACAGAACTAAAGATTTCAGCTACAGGAATCCATCACTTCTTTGTCATCAAATACTACCAACACAGGCACTGGAATGGATTTTCAGAATTGTTCCACTTTTACTTTAAAATGCTGGTGTGATGAAAACCAGATGAGGTTTCCAGACCACAGGGAGTTTTGCAGCAACAAGTCTGCTTCTCCTCAAGTGAAAAGAATGAAAGCCTCAGCTTCTTAAAATTTATTTCAGTGTGCAAAATGCCAGCTTATTCTGAAAGGAAAACAATGCTGAGCTAGGCTAATAGGATTCTTCAGTCAGAATTTCCTTCATGTAGTGCAGGATTTCCTGCACTGCTCAGCAGCAAGGGGCAGACCTCCACATAAACTGGTGACAGACATTGCTACCCTGCTGCAGCTGGAACTTGTGCCAAAGCTGCCAATATAAGTAGGATACTCTTCAGTGATATTCATGGACCCTGGAGCTGGCTTTTACTAAAATTACACCACACATCATTCGGTGGGATAAGCTGCACTGTACACCATCAAGGCCACAACAGGACAGAAATGTTATTCCCATGGGAAAAGCATAATAATAAATAAAAGAAAAGGTTTTATACCTGTTTGATGTCACCTGTTTGATGTCACTTAATTCATGGACACTCCACCTACTGGAGAAACTGCATAGATATTTCCAAAAAGTACAACCTGTGAATTTTTGTGGCTTCACCTGAGGTTGAGGACATGTCCTCATAGCAGGAGGTCACTGAAGGAGCTGTATGCAATTATTTACTTTGCTTTTATGTGGCATATTCTAACACAGAGCGCAGGAATATGCAGAAGGTTATTAAATAGCTTTTAGGTGTTAACCAGCAAACAGGATAATATGAAACACGGCTAGACTTTGTACGGGTATAGGTTTCAATTATAACCTTGATTTTCATGACTCCCAAAGTCTGCCGGAATGAAATCAGCCTGAGTCATCTTGCATATGATCATAGAAAAGAAAAGATGCATTGTTTCTGGACACAGTACTATATTCTCGAAACATGTTTTTGAAAAATCAGAGGTTGCACTTTATGCAAGGTTTCCTGTTTTTCTGCTAGATAAGCCAGAATTACGTCTTTCAGTATCAGAATCTAAATAAAGCAATGAATGAACTATTCTTATTGATATATATATATAAAAGGAAATCAGTGGTAATATTTATTACTAAAAAGAGTCTTTTTATGTATGTATACAGTCTTTTTATGTATGTGGGTATACACATACACTGGTTCCAAAGCGTGCGTTTTAAAGTTGTTGATTTTTTTTCTCTATCTCCAGAACATGGAAGAAAAGTTTAAACAAGTCAGACTCCAGGATAAACAAGGTCAAAACATTTTAGAGAAGGAATATAGCACAAAGGTATCCATACTTAGTATTTTTTATTCGTGTGTGTGTGGTTTTTATCCCCCATTTTCTTCTTAAATCTGTACATTTCAAACAACTCTGTTATGCCACAGTAGCTCTGGAAATCAAGTTATTTGAGAGTCAGATAAGAGTGCTGGTCTACTGCTGTTTGCTAAAAGTTTCTGTGGCAGGATAGAATCATTAAGAAAAGAAACGTATAGCAGAGCTTTTCTGGTCATTTGAGGGAGGCTCCCTCTAAATCTTCTCAGGCAGTAATCAATCCCCACTTACTCAACTTTATATCAAACTCTAAGTGAAGCCACTGTTAATTTCTTAATATATTTTGTAAAACTTTCTTCTCTACCATGCTTCTAAATTGTAAAAGGGGCTGGGAATTGAATGGAAATGCACGTAAGATATTAGGAAAATTTCTGATAAGATAATAAGATAATATAATTCTGAAGTGGTCTAAAGGTGTTTTGTGAAATTCTGCACTGAAGCAGTGCAGTATTCAAATATTAATAATGGCTGGGAACCAACTGTATGAACCAACTCCGTGTATTGCAATGATTTGAATGAAATGATTATCAAAGACATCTTTTCTTAAAATGTTCCAGCCTTCTCTAGTGGATGCAGTCATTTGAAAATATCCATAAGGTGTACCTCAGAGCAATCTATTTTTGTCCTGTTTGTTCAACTTATCTTGTTAAACAGAAGAAAATTGAAGTTATTTTAATAGAAAAATAATTTTCAAGTTCCATTTAAATTCCATGTCATCTGTGTACATTTAATTAAATGTTTTTATTTAATAGCCTATCTTAATGAAGTGTCTGAATTTTCTTCAGGGAGGAATAAAGTTTGAAATTAATTTAGATGAATGTGTTCCTGAGGAAGACAACATTCAAGAAGCAGAGGTAGGCTTTGGTTATATTCAAAGCATTTTCTTCAGTAATCTGAAACCATGACAGTAGCTTCGTGAGGTCAGGTTTAACTGTTTATATTACTGTCACCCTCTACCTGTGTTATAATGAAGCTTCACCTTGAGGCTTTGTTGACATATTGCATATATCTGACTTTCTTCGAGGAGGTAATTGCTTGAGAAATTGGATGGTATCTGGGTCAATCTTTCACATGAAAAGTGGTGCAGATATTTTAATTTTGTAAATTGGGCTGAGGGGGAAAACACATCTCAAAAGTGCATTAGTCTGCAAATGCCGGATTTGATTAGTGAATTTAGTACGTTTCTTTGAGTATTTTCTGAAATGATAATGGCCACTTCTACAATTATTAGCTACACTGCTTTTAAAAATGTGGTTATTACTTCTTGAAAATGAGAACTTACTACACTTCTATAGAAAACTTAACTCTGCAAAATCCATATCAGTTTATATATGCTAGAAAACTACAGATGTGACTCAGTCTATACCAGTGAACACTACAAAACCAGAAATTCCTGTGAGGGCTCTTTTGTGCTTGAAGCTTATGCATGTAACAGACCAAAAGGAGCAAGCAAGACCAGTAGCCTCTGGCAGGGTATAAACTACGCAAGTCCAAGGTCAGAACCTGAGTCTTGTCAGGCTATTCCTTCTGGTGCTGCTTCATTTTCAAGATAGGTCAAAACTGAGGGAGTGACCATGGCCAAGACACATGCAGGATTTATACTATCAGTAGGAACAGCATTAATTGAGCTGTGCAAGAAGAAAGTCAGTATCATTACAGAGAAATGGGACCATAATTTAACTTTCTGCCTATTACAGTTTCTGGAGAGAACTTGACAATGTAATCATGCTATCCATGGCTCAGAAAGGGGATTTTTCAACTGAGCAGAGGGTTTCTCTGGCAAAGTACACAATTGTTATTCAAAATTATTCTCTAAGCCTATTACATTTGTTTTGTTTTCATTCAGGTGTAGCCTGAATGAAATGTAGCCTCTTTGGCTTGCATGAGGCTTTTTCCATCCTTTCTGGGGAAAGTTTGGTTGTCTTACAGTAATACAACGAAGTTCCTGCCCATTCTTTGACTGAAATACCCTCCTCCCCAATAACACTAAAAGCTTGGCTTGGTAATTGTGTTATTTCAATAGTGCATTAGCACGGCTGTTTCTTCTTACTAGGATTATATCACAAAGCAAGAATATTATTGTGATGAACCAGGTGTTATTTGGAAATAATGGAAGTGAGTTATTCTCCTGTATATGTTTTCTCCTTCTATTGTTTTTTCAGGTACAAGATAAAGTCAATGAGATGTTGACTTCCGTGGACGGGCAGAATCTTAAGGAGAACTTGGTGGAAGTTTATGAAGATCCCATGGACGGGGCTTTGGAAGAACTTCCTGGATACCAAACAGGTATTTCTTAGGGAAATGTGATACTTAGGATTAATCCTGAAAATTAGTTAAGAGTAAGGTAAATTCATAACTAGGTTATAGCAAATTTGTCTGATGTTTCTCTCTCATTGTAATATCTTATAATCAACACAATTCCACTGAAATCTATTTTTTAAAAATAAAATAACTTTGCCTTCTCTTTTCTTCCCCTTAGAGTCCAGTGATGCAGGTGATGCTGAAGAAACCAGGAAGCAGTGGCAAACTGGAACCCCCCAGACACTACTGAATTTTTTAGCCAATGCTGATGTCACATCTGTACATCCTATGGCTGAAAATGAATTTTGTAAGAAAGTTTTATATTTTGCAGTGAGTTACATTAGGGAGTTACTAAAATTCAGTCAGACTACTTAGATACTTTTGCAAACAATTCCATACCAGAACGTTCACATGATCCAACAGGCATTTAATTAGAAGGACTTTTATCTGAAGCACTCTGTGATCTTGGGAATGGGCTGAAAACGCCTGTCAATGCAACTAACTTCCTATGTATGTATGTCAATGTAACTTAACTTTAAATGCAACACCACCACTTCCTTGGGCCTTGAGCTGATGATATACAAGACCCAGGCAGTCTGTGGCCAGCCAGCCAAGAACGTGGGGGAGTTCTGGCTTCCCACACCACCCATTACCTTTGCTGCACAGTCACAAGTGCACCCTCACACAGGTCTGGCCATGGTGATGCTCTTTTTCTGGAGGTGAATAGCTGTTTTCTGACTGTGCCAGGCAGCTCCAGTGACTGGGTGCTGGGAACAAGGGGCTCCAGTATTCCCCCATTCTCCCAGTACCCCAGACACACAGGAACAACATGAATTTTTTGCATGGATAGTCAAGACAAAGCAGAGTATTGTTAGTATGTCACTTCTTGTTTGCCTTAGATGATGAACACTGGGAGCAAGAAAAACTGGAACTTCTGATTTTTTTCAGCCCTAAGAAGCCACTAAATTTGTGAATAAGGACAACTCAATGAAGCTGCACCTGTCTATTCCAGGCCTAATATGCTTATTACTTGAGCATTAAAACTAGCATTAAGAAGGTTTTAGTGACAAATAGTCTAGACTATTTTTTTCCCTCTACAGTATCAATCAGATCAAATACTTTTTTTTTTTTTTTAAAGAGAAAATATTCCACAAGGGAAAAAAATCAGATTCTAGCATTACACAAAAGGAAGAAATCAGTGTCCGTATTAGAAAGTCTAATTCTAGCAGAAGTGCCAAGCCACAGTGATGATTTATTGATCTGAAAACCTTCCTGTTCTTCAGCTGACCGTGTCATTCTGCCTGAAGACATCACAGAAAACAGGAAGCAATGGAAACAAACAGCACCCGGGACACTCCTGAGTATCTTAGCAAAAGCAGAGCTGTCTAATGCCTCCTTCATCCAGCTTGAAGAAGAAATAGGTAGGACGTCCATTACTGCCAATATTACAAGGTTTTCTTTATCTTTTTATTTATCTATAATATCTATTAAAATACCACGCTCCCTCAACACCCAGTTCTGCCCTGTTACTCCAGCTGACATCGTGAAGCACATTTGTACCCAAACGGACGGGTTGCTAGTGGATTACACACAGCATTTAGCCATTAGGTACTAAAACAACAACCCTTGTCATTGTTCTCCCGCCTTTCATGTTGAGGTTGCCTTTCGGTCTTTGAAAATGAGAACTTCTAAGGAATCACAGCTGCTGCATTCAAGCAGCAATTTTCAGTCTTTCCCAAACAGTAGTCCCCTAAGTTTTCCACTGAAAGTGCAGGTCCATGTATTAGGAACTTGAATCTACCAGCATCAGATTTACCTTTTCTTTCCCTTTATAGTTTTGTGGTTACAGCCTACAAACATGCGAGGTTCCACTGAACAGAAGTTATAAACTACTGACTAAAACACGTGTGATCAAGTCAGTTATGCACGGTACTTACATTGTTGGTCACTGGGGAAAAAATCAAGCATTTACTTATTTTCTATTACTTTACATACACCTTTATAAATTATATATAATAATTTATATTTTATATATATAATTATTATTATATATGTGTAATACAAATAAAGGAATGTTCTCTCCCTTTCCAGAAGGGAAATTAATCCTGTCACCAAAAGAAAGCAAGGAAAATGACTCAGAATCATGCTCCAGTGTTGCTGTTGATGATGGCAGACTTGAGCCAAGATCAGATGATGAGGACACGTAAGTCAAGCGCTTCAATAGAAAAAGCTATACACATGAAATGACTGGATGCATTGCCTAAAGCTTTTCTCCTCAGTTCTTTTAAATTCATTAATGAAGACAAATTGTTTTACAGTCTGCTGATCTGATTTTCAATTCTCTAATTTGTCATATGTCAATGCTGACATTAAAAATGTTATGCAGAATTGTTAACATGGCTCTGCAACTGTTTGTTTTTTTTTACCTTATAAATATAGGTAAACAATCAGAGATGGGTGAAGAAGCAGTTCATATTTTGTGTGTGGTTTGCATATTCTTTACAACACATTAAAAAAAATCTTGAAGGCTTTTAACTAGAAATGCTCGTAACAGATACATAGAATTAATAAAACTTTGTTTCAAATTTTCAGGAATTTTGAAGATTCTGAAGACGAACTGAGAGGTGATCTGGAAGAATCTCTGGAAAAAGTGGTAACTGCTCCAACAGAGAGAACCATAGAGTCTTCCATGCTTTCAATAAATAGAGGTCAAACACATCAAGAAAAGATGAGCTTACCTAGCAAACTGTTTGGAAAACCTAATGATGATTTAGAAAATAACTGAGTCACTTAGTATTGACACAAATAATTAAAAAGTCAAGCAAGAAGCAACAGCTACGTAGAGTACCAGCATGGTTACTGTTTCAGACCATTAATATCCTTGAAATTTTAACGGCAGCAGTGACAAAATTAGAAAAAAACAGGTAGCTGACATCAAATGCCAAGTAAACCAACTACTTTTCAACACTTACTTAAAAAACAATTAAAATTGAAAGGGTTTTTGCCATTTTTTTAGAAGGAAAAAAATAATCAGGCTAATTTTAGATGTCTACTATTTGAAAAACTGTGATCCAGATTAAAATGCACTTTTCTTTCTTTTTCTAAACTACCTGGGATATCTCTAACAACACTTGTTTGGACAAATTTCTGACTGCATACTCTTTAACCATTTTTGTAGCACATTTCCTACTCAGTGTATGTTATTTCTGTAGATCGATCAACATCCTGTTTTAAGAAGCTTTAACAGCTTCTCATAATCTGAGTAGCACTAATGAAGCTTTGTAATTCCAATAGTTTAATTTGCATAGCACAGACTGCACACAGTACTTCCAACTATTGAGCAGTTTTATACAGTAGGAGTAAAAGGTTTTACTAGCACCATGAGAATCACGTGTTCCCCAGTTCCTAGCATAGAACAAGGTTCCAATGGTTGAACAATGAGTTCTTCCAAACAGCGTCATTAATTCAGATGAAGTTTAAATAAAGGGGAAAAAAAACACATTCTGAAGTGATTTCAGTAGCGTTCTGCACTTCTTAGTTTGCTATGCAACATAAAATACTGCTGTGATGGCTCAAAGTCTCCACTTTTGCTGTGAAAGCAGATGTTTTTAATATGTTTACTTTCTTCTCTTTTATAATGAGCAGTAGCTTAGAGCTTCAAAGTTCTTATTTGCATACCATCTAATTATGTTCTCTAATCTAGACCCTTCTATTCCCAAGGAACAGAAAACTTCAGAATAGGGCTAGAAAAATACCACTTATCCTACTGTAAAAGGACACAAGGTAATAGCTAATGTGAGGAGGATAGACAACTGCAATTATTATGTGTAGCAAAAAAGCAAGCAAGCAAATACCATAGGATTGATCTAGAGGAATCGCTGTAGGTGATGAAATCTCATTCAAGCCCATTTGAGAACCAGCTAATTAACTGCTAGAAAAAAAAACAAAAAAAAAAACTTCTGGGTACAAAAGCAATCAAAAAATGTTGATTTAAAAGTAGGTAAAGAATCATGAAATGTGTAGAGACTCACTGAAAACAAGATATGAAAAGATTTTATAGATGTAGCTCTGTTACCCAGGAAAGCACTGTGAATTCAGAAGGTTTTGCAGTTCACTGTACTGTACACATGACAGCGTACTGTCACAGAGCCAACACAACATTTTCAGATGCATTTATTTCCCAGTGAAGTATTTCCCAGCAAAAGATTTCTATTACATAAAGCAGATATCCTGACAGAAAGAAAAAAAAAACAACTCTTTATTGAATGGGACCCAGGAATCATAAATTACATATATTTACATGTACAGGTTGTACCTGGTCAAATATAAAAAGACAGTTTTACTCATATGCATTTTTATTCACACACATTTATTTAAATAATGGCTCCACAGATAGTAGGAATGTCTCTTCAAAATGCCGGTCAGAAAACCTGTACACAGAGCGTCGAGCATTTTCTCTGATCTCCAACCTTTTTTCAGGAGACAAAGAAAGGATATAAGCCATTTTCTCAGCGTAATTGTCCTCGTTTTCTGCTAGGAAGCCTGTAATACGTCCTTCATAGGGTACCACAATATCTAATTTGGGGCCTCCAGAATTGTGAGCCAGGATAACTGTGCCAGCTGCCATGCATTCAACCACTCCTGTGAAAGATACAAAACATGCCAATGTGAATGGGTACATCACAGACTTTAGCTTCTGACTACACTGCAATTTAAAACTGCAATAAAACTCTCCTAGAAGTTACTACAGCCTGGAATTTTACATCAGTTTGAAAAATACAGCGTAAATGTAACTGAAATAAGTTTCCCTTAAACATAAAATTGAAATTAGAAATCAGATGTAACTGGTTGATTTGGGGTTCTTGTAGCACACGTGATCTATAAGAGATACATTATATGGTGATAAAGAGCTAGATCCTGAAATGAATGTAAAGATGAGGACAGAAAGTAGTTCTGTGGCAGAACACTGCAAAGCTGGACTGAAAATAAACCTGCTTTTATGGCTTAGAGGCAGCTGCAAAAAATAATTACAAAACAGAGCTGCATGTAGCTGCATTCATTTTCTCAGTCAGACTGAATGGTTTTAAGATTTAGAAAGATAATCTGAGAGAAAGGCTGATTGGACTTGTATCAGTTGGATGATATTCAAGCAGAAGCTCAGTGTTTTGCAAATAAACACATCTTCACAGCTTCTGACAAGATCTGCACGTTTGTCCTGCCAAATTATCACAGCGTTTGTATTCTTAATGGTAGAAATTTTAATGAGATGGGTATTTGACAGAAAGTTTTGCTCAGTCAAAAGCAGCAAGATAGGAATAGCGCACAATATCCACATCATCTTACCTCCATGGCTCCAAATAAGAGCTCAAATCACTTTAATTACTGATTGTTCTCAGTGCTGATTTGATTTTTATTAAGTTTCACTAGCTCAAATATTACCCATTATAGATTAATGCTCTAAAGTTGTGGAACAGATTTCATAAAGGTATAAATCCATTGGAGATCATTGTCAAATCATGCTGAAATTCAAAAGCACAGTGCAACTGTATCACTTTTTTTGTGGGGGGATAAACTTTTTACGGGGGCTTAAATCTCAGAAATCATTATTTCTGTTCTGTAGCAGTTGCTACAGCCTTCTGAGGCGCCGCAGGGTACAGACAGCTCTACCTCTGCAAGATCACCACCAGGGCCTTGGGCAGCTGCTTGGTGTGCATGCCTCCGTGCTCAGACACTACCCCAAAGAGTCTTAACCACGATGTGAAACCCTCCCCAGCTGTGTTCTAACCTCTAAGACAAGCAGCTGAAAAATGAGCAGAGATACTGACCGATCCCAAAGTGCTCGTTCCACATGGTGTGCAGGCCGATGGTGGCCTCGGCCAGGTGTTTCTTTAACTCCTCGAAGGGAATGTTTACTCTGAACATCACGCTGCCACTAACTCCCAGCTCTTCACAGAGACGTTTCAGATTATTTACACGCTCCTCATCTTGCTGGTTACGGCAGCCTCCAATTAAAATAAGCTTGAGTGATGGCTGCTGCCCCGGTCTCTTCTCTTTCAGCAGCTTGGCGAAGGCTCTGATTTGCAGAGGATGATCTTTCTCAGGCCTGAACTGGCTGACAGGAAACGATGGAACATTCAGCAGTGCTCTTTTCCTCTTCCAGAGGAATATCCAGGAAGGTCTGAACGTCGCACGGCGGATACACCACGCTAGTGCAAGCCCCAGTTCTCCAGATGGAAAGGATGTGGTTGAGCGTCCAGGAGGAATTAACCATAACCACGTCGCTGCAGGAACCCACCAACCCGTACAAGAACGCGAACAAGTAGTAGTAGACGAGTTTGAATTTGCTGATGAGTGGATTGTTTGTGATGAAGGCTGCGTTGTTAAACCTCGTGTCCTGATTCCTGACCACCGACAGCATATCGGTGCTGATGGTGGGATAGTGCACATAACACCCGACACGACAGCCTCCTAAATATTTAAAGAGGGGGAGCGTGAAGGCGTAACCCATCGAGTCAATATAAATGTCAGGAACACACTTCAGAAGAGCTTCCCAGCCAAGGAACACCGAGCCTAAGCTTTGTCCCAGCAAAGTGAAGTGAGGATAAAGAGAAGCTTCCACGAGGTAGCGTTTTTCTAGAAACACAAACTTCACGGGATGAGTTAATTTAATATTGAACCTTCTGAAAGCACCTTCTACTATTTCTTCTGCAGTGGCATCTCTGTCACCAGTGTAAACAACACACGTTATGTTTTTGTACCTGTAAGAACAAGGAAAAAGAATTTCACACGTTCTCATCAAGTTTTATTAACATGAAACTAAAATATTATCCATTCAAAATTAATGCAGAAGTATGCACAAAACAAACATCTGGCCTAGCTCTGAAATGATTTTGATTTAACTAAATTGATTCTATGAATTCTTTCCCTTATATTTCTATTTTATTTTTTTCTGATCCTACAGTAAAGCATGATGGATGAAGACTGTGGATTTTTTTAGAGTACAAGATAAAGGAGCTCAGTATTAATCAATATCAGACTTAAGAGTGCCTTGCAGTGTTAGGAGATGTCCATCTAGAGTACAGCATGAACAAAATGCAGAAGGCTGCAAAATTCAGAAGGCTGTGCAAAGCCAGGGGTTGTGTCCGTGCTAATATCCACTTCAGATATTAACTTTGTCTCTTGCAACAAGAGGCGAGTATCAAAACTAGAACCTGTGTGCAGGTAACTGATGTGTCCATAAAAGTCCAATATCAGTACCAAAAAAAAACAACGATGAGAGAGGAGTGGTTTGGCCTAGGAGGAAAGAAGTGACAGGTGCTGCAGCTGTGCAGAAGACAGAGGACAGAATAAAATCCAGGCAGAGTGCTGAAGCCAGAAGGTGCAACCAGGTGAAACAGAGATCTAAAAAAAACCTTTAGGGCCCGTACATTACCGATACCCATTTAAATATGCAAAAATAACACAATTTGCATAAAAAACACCTCAGGAAGCTGAGTGTGAAACGTGGTATTTGACAGACACGTGCTTACTTTTTCTGGAGTGTCCTTATGGCACACCACAAGACCCTCTCCCCTCCACCTCCTGCGTTGCAGTAGGGGTGAAAAAACGCCACCAGCACGGGTCGCTGCCCGTCCCTCCCCGCCGGGCCGAGCCGCCGCTTCCTCGCCTGCAGCCAGAGCCGCACGCCCCACAGCAGCACCGCCACGCACAGGCACAGAGCTCCGCTCAGAAACAACGCCGGCACCAGCAGCGAGCACAGCAACCTGAAACGAGTCAGAAAGCGTTAAACTGAGAAGTTCAATAATTAATTGTTGCATAGAAGAGACACAGTGCGGTGACAGGATGAGGGGGAATGGGCTAAAGTTGCGCCAGGGGAGATTTAGGTTGCGTATTGGGAAGAACTTCTTCACGGAAAGGGTTGTGAGGCATTGGGATGGGCTGCCCAGGGAGGTGGTGGAGTCCC